GAAGATAGCGAAGGATATGTTTAACGTCATTTCAATGCCTCCTTGTAGGAGAAGCACTATACCTTGCTAGCAAGTTCACCGTAAATGCAATATCAGGCCTGGTGCAATTTGCGAGATAGAGAAGTGCTCCAATGACGCTCAGATAGGAAACTTCTGGCCCTAATATTTCTTCATTATCTTCTTTGGGTCTAAATGGGTCTTTATCCACTTCGAGGTACCGGACGACCATTGGTGTGCTAAGTGGATGAGATTTATCCATATAAAATCTTTCCAAAACCTTTTTTACGTAGGTTGACTGGTGTAGAAAAATTCTTTCTGGGAAAATGCTCGATCTGCAGGCCGAGACAAAACTTGGTTTTTCCCAAGTCTTTCATTTTAAACTCCATCTTTAGGCACGAGCTAGTTTCTGTAAGCTCCTTGTGCGTTCCAATAACATTTATTTCATCAATATAGACTGATATAATACAGAAGCCATTTTCGAATTTCTTTATAAACACACAAGGGCAGACATCATTATTTGCATATCTCCTCTTCAGGAGGAACTCACTCAGTCGGTTATACCACATTCTACCCGACTGTTTTAAGTCGTATAACGATCTTTATAATTTAATGATATACATGTTGTGATTCTCGTTTTCTCTCAATTCAGGAATTTTAAGTCCATTAGGGACTTTCATATAAAAATATTAACGTCTAATGACACATATAAAAAAATATGGTCATGACATACATATACTTCATATATAAATTCATAGTTTCTGCCATAGGTATTAACTTGCGGAACGTAATACAATCACTAATAGGAGAATATTTTACATCTAAATCGATGTCGGGTCTCTGCGTAAACCCATTGAGCTATGAATCTCGCTTTATATCTCACCACCTTATAATTCTCATTTATTTTTTTCTTATGAAGACCCATTTATATCCTGCAGGGATATATGGACTACAGGTTCAAAATACTTTAGCGAGTTCAGCTCAGCCTCAATTACCACTTTCCATCTCACCTAGTCTGAGTGCTTCAAGCACTCTGCTACCGACTTAGGTTCTGGATCCAGATTATTTTCAGAGATAGTAAGAGCAGCTGTAGATGCAACTATGTTGTCGACAACTTTTATATTTATATTATATATTTCTCCTTTTTTATAAATTCGTGGCCACTTTAATTATTATTTTATGTCAACCAAATCCTTGTCATTTCCCTTAACAATTAGATTTGGCCGTTCCGCATCTCCAATATTATGATTATCAAGTGCACGTGCAATTTACTAGAGATTTCGTCTTCAGGATGAACCTCTTCCGGAGGTTATGAGAGTGACTGTCTTTCTATATATAATTTATTTTGTCGCGGACTTTTATCTTTTACACTAACATGTTTTATATGCTTCTGGCATACCAAATCATCAATGATATATTCAACATGAATATGGGCTTAGTCACTCTTTTCTTAGCAGATTATCATGTGAACTTCTGGTTCGGTTTGACTAGTACGTGGTTATAAATATTGAAGATCTTTTTCATCAATAGAATTTCTTAACATTATTTTATATTTTGGGCACTAATCTCCCCCTAATGTCAAGCATTGATCTTTAATAAAAATGTAGTCAACGTACCAAATTGTAAATTGATCCCCTAACATGGGCCATAGGTACTAAATTATTAACGGAGTTTCATAAATAATGTATGTACCTTCACTGAGGTCCCATAGAGGTACGCTATGGTGGTGATATAGAAATATGGACTGCAAATAAAAAATACGCAGATGGGAAATGTTTCGCTTCTTCACCACGTATTAGATAAAGGGGGAAAATTATGATATGCAGTTGGTCGGATTTGGTTTGAATGCCCCATTTAATTTAAGGAAATCCGACAAATCATATTTTGCCCAAGATGACCCAATTGCTCATGCCAGAATTTAAAAGAATTTGGGTTCCTAAAGCTCAAACTCATCGCAACATGGTGTATTTTAGGTTATACAAATTCTTAACCACCTCGATAAGATCCACTTCAATGTCCACTACCTTCCCTCGTCCAAGTTTATGAATATTAGTTTGAATTATGACATGTGCTTCAGGCACTACGACTGAACCAATTAAACTTGCATTATGGTTTCTCACAACAGCTGGTTGTGTTTTTAACAACTACTAATGCATGGATTAGTTCATAATGCTTTTAGTTGTACTATTATAAGAGTACAAGGTTACTTATTGAATTATATTCAGTCGAGGGTTTAAAATCCAAAAATGGCTACAGGATAAGATCTCTTACTATGTTCTTAGCCTCCTCCTTGTCCACGCGTATAAGTAATTTTTTAAATTGTAGCATGTGCTACAAACACAACTCGTAAGCCAACTAGTCTGATATTGTGATTTCTAATCATCAATTGGTTGTGCTTCTCTGCGACTACTAATGTAGATATCAATTCAGAATGCTAAGTGTAATTCTTGGTCATGTACTGCTGCTGGAGTACAATATTATTTGCGTGGAATGGGGAAAAGAACTTTTCGATCAATTTTGTCACTGTCGGAATGGGGAAAAGAACTTTTCGATCAATTTTGTCACTGTCTGTAATGTTCTGCTTACAGAGTTTCAGCTATTAGATAATGTGGTACAGAGCTGAATCATATTTAGTCATGTAATTGAAAAAAAAAATCCAGATTCAGTTTTTCAATTGCGCTTGAGGGAGGATTATTGGTTTCCATAGATCAAAACGATCCTTCAGGGATTGTCCAAAAAAGTGAATACTTTTTCAGTGAGGCATTTAATTTTTCACGTCTTAATTAATAGAGAGAAAATTTAAAGTGTTTGCCTTCTGGACAAAGATACTTAAAGAATCAAAAGATAAAATCGTGCAAAAATCACAAGGGTGTCCAGTAAAAATGAACGTTCAAGGCCAAAGACAAGTAACAATTACTATCATATATCACAATGCACTAATCATGGGGACGAAAAATTATTGCATGAGAAATTAGAAATATTCATATTTTAATAAGATCACACATAATCACCAAAATCATTAAGCTCCTTTTTCTAAAGATCTCCATAAAGGTTATCTTTCAAATGTTTGCTTCTGGTAAACTAGTCTGATATTAAAGTTCACACAAAATTTTTAATGTTCGGACGATCAATGACCATCAAAAACTTAAGCAAGTAGAAATTAAACAAAGACATAATCAGTTTGTGCTATCCTTTTTTTTTCTAAACTCAATGTTGCCAGATTCAAAACACCACAAATGCAATTTTGGATAGAAACTAATATTGCATAATTTCAGTGGAGAAGGAGAATCAATGCTATTAGCAATAAAAAAAAGGGACCACTTATGGATGCCAACATGAGTTTTAAAACCCACAACTTAATTTCAAGTTTTCATGAGGCTTAGATTTTACATCAAGCAAGCAAATGGAATTTTTAAAGCAAAAGCATCAAATTGATATATTATGACAATTTTTCATGATTGATGATTTGTCTATTCATACTCTAGACTAGATAACTGGTATGTTTTAATTTTCAGAATACGAACAAAAGTACTACTATTTGTTATGTCTAAAAGAATTTTTGAATCTGTGTATTCCTTTACATACATGATAACGAATTCTGAACACAGTAAGTAAGATATAGAAGATTCATGAGAATTTTAATGTTACTCATCAAAGATAGCCAAATAGTTTGATATTCAATATCTATAGCCATTGATTTTCAATTTTCACACTTAAGTTTATGGTGTTAATGGTTATTCAGAAATACTTCATGACACTATTGAACTTTTATAATGGTTCTATAATTTTCCTATAATTTACAAGCCATTCCCCTCTATTCCTCTCTGATACAAAGACTGATAGTATAAACAGGTGAAAATGGCATGAATTACAGCCCTAGTCTTACCAGATATGGAATGTGTAAAGAAAATATAAGCCTGGCTTTAATTTGGAAACTCTTACAAACTAAAAAAACTAATCATATATGAGAAGACAAGTAACACATAAACAAAGTACGTCTCTTACACCAGTCATGGACTCATGGAAGACAAGTAACACATAAACAAAGTACGTCTCTTACACCAGTCATGGACTCATGGGTGCCAAATTAACTGGAATAATCAATTAAATAAATTGATAAAATGGTAGGCATGCAGATGTGTCCATTCATACTAACTAGTGTGCATGCAGATGTGTCCATTCATGCTAACTAGAGCGAATTTTTTTTGTACCATGATGGTCAAACAAAGAATAAGAGGAACAGATACTAGCAAAACAAGTGCATCAAAATTTTGCACAAAAAGACTTCAAAAACACTATTTGAAATATACACCAGATCCAGTCTTCACAATCATATACTTAACTACTTGTAAATATGCAACATAAAAGTTACTCTGCCACGTAATTCATAAAGTGTTTCATCCTTAATACTCTTATTATACTTATGGCAAAAGGAAGTAAAAATCTTGCATCAAAATCGCATAACATACTGTTACAGAGGCATAATCGATCAACCGATAATGAAAACATGAAACTTTGTAAATAGACAAAGGTCGAATGTATTATGTATTGTTACCTTGTAAGAGGTGTACACCGAAATATCTCTTACCACTAACGGACGATTACGAACCAGCTAGCTAGAGCTTTCTTGCTGATAACGTGTTGTAATATACTAAAGAAATGAAACAAGAGACAAGAGAAGAAGAGAAATTGTAAATTTTATTCATATCTTTCATTTCCATACATCGTACAATTTATAGATACATGATGGAAGACAAAAGGACATGAAGTTAATAGTCCACATACAAAGTAATGTTCACATACATTTTATCTTTTAGATATCAACAAAATATTTTTTAGATATCAACAAAATGTCTTTTAGATTACAACATTTACCTTTTTTTTTTATTATTCCCCCGCTAAAACTGGTTTATTGAGTTCGCCGAACAGGCCGGTAGTTTTGTCAAATAATAACAGGAGAAATAAGAAAAGAAGCTACAATGACTTATAATAGCGATTGGACAAAACTTTAAGAAAATGCAGTATAACTACAGTTGGGCATCCTGATTACAGGATCACGACTACTGCAGTAGACATCAGGTGAAGACCACCATTTAATTCCTAGTGGTAACTTCAAAATGAATTATTGTCTCAACGGGCACGCAAAAACTTTTAAAAGGAGTTTCGGTTCATGAACAACGTCATACATAGATTACTAATTGCGACCAATCCCATTTCATTGGATGTAACACTGAGTTCTTGGTGCAGAAAAGTTACAATGCTTGGAGATTTTCCGTGCGACAAAACTATACAAAAATTCACCGGCATGCGCACTATGGATCTCGAAATATAACTCATGAGTATATTTACATACACACTCCGCCCAAAAATTTTGCTTGGAATGCTGCTCGGTTAACCAAACCTAGCAATTAGCCTGCAAGAATCATAATTTAAATGATATTATGTAAGTACTTGATGGTGATCCTTGGTAAAGAAAAGATGCAAATAGAAGGAAAGCGACAATTTACATTTGTTGGAAGTAAATAAACAGCAAAATTGATCTGCGAAATGTCGCGGCTGTAGCGGGAAAAAAAAACCAAAAAAAATAGTTTAAACAACTGAGGTACAAGCTTATTAAGTTACTAATCCTTACAATACACCATATGGAATTCTGAGGGCATGCA